TGTGTCTATTTTCAATTATTCATTATTATCTTCTTTATGGAAAAAAATCCTATTTTTTAGTTTAAGAAGTTGTTTTATTAACATTAAGTAGAGAAACAGAGTATGTGCCATTTATTTAATTTGGTTCAATACAAGAGGTACACTGAGACATTTAAGTCTAGTATTCAATATTCGGTAAGCATGTTTCTCAACTTGATTAATAATTTTTTAAAGATGAAAGATTGTAAAATGCATTGGATGAAATAGGAACTCGTTCAGTAGATAACATTGATAAATGTAGCATTATTAATATTAAAAGGAAAATTTTGGGATTACACAAACGTTTAGTGACTGCCTATTTCTTGTCAGATCATTCATAATTTTTCTCTTTGCAGCGAAATGGGAATCAAGTGATTGAAACAATAAGATACACGCATATTTTTCATGTATTAATCTTTCTTTCAATCAGTGATTAAATGACCTAAAATGTTTAAAATATAAAAGAACTCCATCAGTTTCATTTTTTGCAAAATCGTTTTATTACACAAAAAATTTCTGCTTGTTTGGTTCTGTATGATACAATGCGATGTCGATGATATGATACGATGAATTTTCGACTTGATTTTAAACCTCTTGATTGCTTATTTTCGACAGAAATATACTTTTCTTTTCTTTTCTTTGCCGAACACATCAGAAAAATGGTTTTTACTTAAGGGTTGGGGAGAAGAGTTAATAGTAATTTTTCAAGTAACTACTCATAAAATAACTTCCAGCGAGAAAGCTTTGAAAAACTTCGAATAATTATTTGGTAAATGTACGTTAGGTAAGAACAGAAGGATGATTTAAAATAGCCCTTTTGAAATGTCTTATTAATAAATGCTGTCGAATAACTCTTCGTCTAATGAAAGTTAAATTTCCAATAACACGGAAATTTTAGGTGGTTGAAATCTACAGAAGATAAGGGAAATTTAATCTCCCAGTTATATGTAGACTTTAATAATTATTAATGTAAAAATATAATGGCTGAATCACTTATAAGTATCTTTTTAAATGTTACTTTCTGATATAATTAGCGGTGTTAAATATATAAAATGCTGATCATAGTGGTTCATTAGTTAGCTGAATTATAATTTATATTTTCTTTTCATAGTTGCTTGTATTATTCCGTGGTAAGGTTATTACAAATCATATCAATGACGGTATTTATGTATCTAAATTAATTATTATAACAGTGTCACTAACATTGTAATTTATACTTGTATTTTATCTCTGTTTAACAAGACTGTTGGTTGTAATTTAAAATTCAATATTATTCTACCACATTGAAATTGAAATGATTAGCAAATCAATGATTTTAGAGATAATTTGTTTCAAACTCATTGTTCTTTATTATTAATTATAGAAACTGTAACATTTTTTTCTCATTAATTTATTGGCACTAGAAATAAAAAGACTAATCTACTTTTATTCTTGAATGTAGAGCGGAAGCGGGGAAGACAGACTTATACCCGGTACCAGACACTGGAGTTGGAGAAGGAATTTCATTTCAATCGCTACCTGACTAGAAGACGTCGCATCGAAATAGCACATGCTTTGTGTCTCACAGAGAGGCAAATCAAAATTTGGTTTCAGAACCGACGCATGAAATGGAAAAAAGAAAATAAAGCCAAGCTGGAAGCAGGGCTCGCTATAGGTCCAACTCCTCCCGAACTAACACATCTTGGGGAGCATCCTCAACAGTGAAAGTTTTAAAGGGTTCCTCCTGGTCCAATCTGATTGCATCTACCATCCGATTACGCGAGCAGCTTGGTTGGAAACACCGAGTTAGGTTTAATTTTGCCGGTATTTGTTTGTTGATGTGATCTCCGTTTCGTCTCACCTGTAAATGACATACATCAATTCTAATGCTGTGAGTGAGATTTACAAGGAATGTTGAACTAATATGAGCAAGCTCAATCTTAAAAATTAGGGACCAGATAAAGAGCGGGGGGGGGGAAGACGCATTTTGTCCAGGCCGAATCATCATTACTCGAGTTAGTTGATGTTTCATTGACAGAAAAATAATAGCATTATCAGAGATACTTAAGAACGAAAGCATCTCTGTTCAGTTGGTCAGTAATATACTGCTTGGCTATTTTTTTACTGATATTTCAAATTTTGTTTATTTTGGCTGCAAACGTGGTATTTGGAAAAAAAAAAGTTTTAAATTATAAAATGTTGTTAAATGCTTTTAGATTAAACATAATATGTATAATTTTTAGAGTTCAGAATTCCTTGTAAAATCACTTTTATAAGAGGTTTTTTGCGATGATGTTAAAATTTGTCCTTCTTTAGGGAATTACTGTTATACGTGTACGCAATGAAGCTAACCAAATTATACAGTCACGAATGGTGTATTGTACAGTAGCACCTTTTTGAATAACAAACACAGTGCAATCAATGATTTATTGAAACGGCTGATTATGCCGAAGATCACAGTGGTTAAAAGTATTATAATTTTTCACCTCAGCAAAGGAAGTATATGCATTTAATTTTTACTGTTATAAACAGAAGGCTACAATAAAAAGGAACTTTAACTTGCTCGGCAAAATAATCTCTTGAAGGCTGAACTATATAGCTTATCATGTGATTACACATGGACTTGGAGCCCTTAATGAAAAAACAATTCTGGTTTTTGGAGACTATATAAACTGAAAATTTAGAAACGGACATTCAATATGTGTAAAGTGTGTATTTTGTTTATATATGTGCTGTCAGATTCTGACTGAAAATATTGGTGGATAGGTTCTGTTATTACTCTTGTTCTGTATATTTTAGTCGCTTTTTATTCCACAGAACATATCCAGTTGAACCAGAAAAATGCAAATTTTGTTTTCTACTTATTACGTATGTTTAATGTTTCATACAGCAGTTATAAATGGTAAGAAATTTAGGCTAAACGAAAGTTCAATATGCTCATGAAATAGTTATGTACAAACATACACAAAGAAGAATTAATAGCTTGAAAGAGTAACGATTCAAAAGGCTGTAAATTGTGTCAATAAATACTCTAAATTACTGTCTATTTATAAAGAGGAAATTGAATATAATTTTTTCATTTATAATTTCCCCCTGTAAAGTAAGATCTAAAAATAGTCCATTTTCTAATGAACTAATTACGAATTCTTACTGTTAAAATTTGAAAATGAATTCATAAAGACAAATTTGAAATGCACATATGTTAATCTAAACATAATGATTGATAGAAAACTCAAAACTTATTTTTGTTTTGAGACATTTGTGTAACATTGTAAATAATGTAGTTAACACAAAGCTGACGGTGATTTTAGTTATGTGTGAATTGTTTGTTATACGTGTAACTACTGTTCAATTGTTCTTATATGTAAATGTCTTTTGCACAAATTTATCATAAAAAGCATGTATAATTTATTAATAATGGAAAGCATAAATAACGAGATTTTTTTTGTTTATATAAGTGTACAATTTCATATATACTTAAGGAACTACTTGTTAGACATTTCACATTTTCTTTCATATATGTTATGAAAAGTTGTGTGACATAATTTGCTCCAGGTTAAAAGAAAAAAAAAGGACATGTGTTTTTTCCTGCATGTTTTTTTTTTTCAGTCTGAAATATTATAGCACTTACCTTTATTACTAAATATCTCAGCCATTTGGGTTTAGCTATAAATTAATTGTCATGTCCAGAAGAAGTTTTTATGTCTGTTTTAAGACTCAACTGCAAGGAAAACTGAAAAATTTCATTCCGTCTGTGGGAAAATATAAAGTCTTCTCCTATGTTTAAAAACATAGCAGCTGTAAACCTTTTAACACAATAATTTATTTAGATATTTCATTTCTTTTTCCTTATGTATATATTAGTTAATCATACAAAGATAAAACAACTAGCTAATGATTTTGAGACTAAGTCTTTTAACTAACGGTCAAATTTAAGTTTTTCTTCCCCCTCATATTTCGGTCTAAAGAATTAAAACTTCATGAATTACAGTAATAGTCCTATGCTTGAAAATATATTCATTGCCGTTTGTTATTAATTCTAGATTTTTTTGAAGAAATTCCTGCACCTCAGGAAACATAATTAAATAATATTCTTAATTTACATTATTTTTGGAGATATTTATAGTTGAGAATGAAGCTATAAAAGCAAAAGAAGGCATTCTTTAGGTTGGGAGTATCTCAAATATTGTTAAAACTTGCTTTGACTTAATATTGTCTGTAATTGTGTATTCTGAACAATATTATGTTACTTAATTGAGAAAGTAAAGGCTTCTTATTAGATATTTCACAATTTTTAAACTGTGAACTTTTCCCCTTAAGTTTTCGGAATTTTTGTCTTTAGTTACACACTGCTGCAAACAGTGTGTAACTAAAGACAAAAATTCCGAAATGATATTGCTTCAGAGTAACTAGTGATAAAATATACTTTCATTTTATTTAATATATGGATATGTGGGAAACAACACTGAAAAGAGAAATAATTATTGTTATTTAACATTATTAACCCTACCCTGGGAGGAATGAAGAAAAAAGAATAAGAAAGTCTTCCGTTTAATTTTTCTAAAATTTATATATTGAGGATGATAAAAAAATTATAGTTTCGTACTAAAAATAATAATAAATATATTTTTTGCTTATATTTAAAATAGTTTTATTATATTTGTTAAAAGTTTCTCTGTTTTTGTAAAAACCAAAAATTTTTTTGGACATGATGCAATAAATATAAATAAATAAATAAGTAAATTAGGTAAATAAAATAAAATATTAAAATTTTGCGGACTTTTATTTTTTCTAGGCCTTTTAAAATTTACTTTGAAGGAAATTTGCCTTCAAAATTCTTCAGATGCATAACACAACTAGCTTCCAACGAGGCAAATAATTGCTGAAGTGCAAAAATACTTTGCTTCAGGGCAGAAGTTAGTTGACATGCTACAGGAGAACAAATGCATTTCCTTTCAAAATTCAGCTGCATGTTACCTTCGAAATCTTTTCTTCGTTTTTAGGGGACGAGACCACAGCACAAAAGGAGCAAAGAACTTCAGTGCATATCATCTGGTGTCTTCTTTTGTATCACTGTGAAAAGAACATTTGGACAAAAGAAAACATGCCTGAAAGGGAGGTAATTGTTACAGCACAGAACAGTCTGTGACTGACGTAACCTCCTCACCCCTTACTAATTCAGAAAGAAATTTTCAGCTAAAAAATTCCCTTTCCCAAGCATACAAAGTTGGTTGTTCCTAACAGCTCATTCCTATAATGCTTCTGTAAGAAAATTGGCTTCTGTGTAATGCTGTTGCCAGTTATATAACACTATAATGAAGAAAGTGAAGATGAAAGTGAAGGGTTTTAAACTGTAATTAAAAATTGCTAAGGTTTTTAAAAATCTGTAAACACATTACTGAAATTAACATTTAAATCAAAAAATTATAAGAACTCATTTTAAAATTCAAAATTAATGTGCAATGTATTTTAATATTTAAAATGTGTTAGCCATCGAATGTTTTTCATTAGCGGATCCTAATTTAATGGTTTAATATATCTTTCTGTAGAAAATTTTGGCATGTTTTGTCTAATAACAGAAACGATTTGGCATTTATTTCTGATGATAACGAAAATGCATATATTTTTTCAGTAAGGATAAAAGTTTTATATGTAAAAGGAACTGCTCACTATAGATTTATTAGTTTTAGTATAATTTATTCATCCTCAATATTGTAAAATTTAAACTGCATATTTTCAAATCATTAATTAATTAAAAAAATTTTAAGTAATAACTGGTTCTAAAAGTCTTAAAATTTAAAAAAGATAAAGCACTCAAATTTAAAATATGCAAGAATTACAACTAAAACTTAAATATATATGTATATATAAAGAGAAGACATTTTGTGGTCAACCATGAAATTTTAATTCTATATAGCTTGAGTGAAATAATGTGGCAGTGATTGGTAGTATTTTAGTATTAAATTCGGTGGCACTTTTAACAAAATTGAAATTTATTCATATTTTCGTTTGAATTATGGAAGTAGCACATTGCTTTCCTTACAGTTCGAGAAGAAAGAAGTTCCTATCCTAACTTTCCTATGTTAAAATTTTAATCTTAAGCTACAAATAGCTGCCTAAATTCAAATGCACAACTAATTGAACATCCAAATGCATTCTGTATAATTAATAACTTACACGAACTGTAATACAGCGCAATATAAAATATTTTCTTCAAGTTCTTTTATTGATTTGGTGGAACAAGAGGTAAATTTTTTCAGCTGGAATATTACGCATTTTGATCCCAAATTTCTCCTCACTATTTCAATATCCAAAACTATCCCTAAAATCTCTAATGCTTTTCCCTCTTTGTCATCAGCCTTACAGCTTTGGTTATAAATCTTAACCTGTCTATCCCGCCTATTTTTATTTATTGTTGACCCCTCTGGTTCCCTCCCTTTTAGCTACTACTCTACTTCAATAAAGGTGCACCCTTCTGTGTCGCATTCCCTTTTCCTTTAGGGGTTTCGCCTTCTTTTCAAATCGGGAATTCAACACCTGTTATTTCTGAGAGAATTACGAAAGACTGTTCAACAAAAGGGCTGCCTTACGTAAATTACAAAGCGCGGATGCTACGCGTTGAATCTAAATTTATCTTCTACGCTGAACTAAATTCATAGTCATTTTCGAGTTTTATTACAGTAAATGTCGTTCCCATGGATAAAATACGAGCGGTTAGAATATGAATTAGTCGCAAATTTTAGATTAATATATCATAATATCACGTCACTCATAATATCACTCATAATATCACGTCAAATTAAAACTGGAAAACCCCTTAAGCTTATCGGATTTAACCGAAGTTTATTTTTTTCTTGTTTGCAATAGCAGTGAATTAATTTCTTGAGTGATATTACTGGAATTAGTTTTTAGGAGTATAATATTATAATGTGCCTAGTATGTTTTAAAAGCAGATTTTTTTTAATTCGCTAATAATAAAAAAAATTGGCAGCGTTGATTTAAACTAACATAGAATGAACTTTTCTGAAAGCTAAGAATAATGTTAATTCATAAAATTTCATTTACCATGTGTGGTATTTTTAAATGATTTAACAGTAGACAGTCTGCAAAGTATTTCATTTGAATTTACATCTGCAGACTATTATTGTTGTCAATATTACATTTAATCACTTCGATTATAATTCGTAAATATCACAGAACTATAAATTATAATATTCAGTGTATTATAAAAGATGACTTCAGAATATGTAAACAATTAGATAAATTTTTCGAGTTTTTTTTCTGATTTTGAAATATTGAGGAATTTTATTTGAATACTTCATAATGCATAATATTGAGACTAAATGTTTATGAAAATAAAAACTTTACTTACATGAATGATTTCAGTATGCATATTTCGGGAGAAAGTGGCATTGCTTTCTTTATCCAGAATGCCATTAAGTATGATAAAATGGTCTATAATTTAACGATTTCTATCAGATTTCGAATTATAACCTGAAGATTTAAATAAAAGAAACAATGCCTAAATAATCAACATGTCCTCAAAATACACTCAAAATTCTGTGCAAATAAGTGTGCACTGATAAGTGTAATTTGTTATGTTTTGTTGAATATCATTTGAGAGGCTGAACCATTGATGTTCGTAACGCAAACATATCGTAATTGTATATATAGAAATACATTAAATATGCATGTAACTTATTAAATAAGTTGTCTGATGCTGTTTGGCGATGTAGCTATCAACCACTTTCTGATGTATTTATTTAAATTTTGCCCTGTGACATTTTACTCAAGGGCATAAATGAATTGAAAGTTAATTTAATTTAGTGTTAACCCTTTAAAAATCGCCTACGGTTGAATCATTTAACAATAAAAGTTAACACCTGGATCATTTAATAGTTCTGCATATATGTAATATGAAATGAAACTGTATGCATGCAAGCAAACGAAAGTCGTTTGTCGAAGCTTTTCACCCTACAATACTTCTCAGTCACATTATCAACATCTGAGAAGGCTTTCTTTGGGAAACTTTTATGCTGGAAACCGTTGAAAACAATATGGTAAGAACTAGAGTAGCCACTAATCTTTTATCAATTTAAAGCTGATTTCAAGCTGAGAAAAGCTCTAATATGATGAAGCAAGCTATTCATATACTTAATGTACAATTATCTTTTATTTTCTTCAAGTATTAAAATGGTGAAAAATATTACAGCAGATTAAAAATGTGTAATTACAGTAATTTAAATCATATTATATTAAATACTTTCCCCTCTAAAGCAGATCTTTATTTGCAGTCTACCCGGTGGCGAAAGACTTTTGTATCAATAATTTATTTCATCGAATCAAATCGTATTATTTAGTTTGGCAAGAAAAAAATTCTTATGTATCAACAACAACATGGGTTAAGCACTTAGATTGTATTGATATTTTGTTGTTTTTATGTTGGATTGTTTAATTTTGTGATGATCTGTAAGCCGAAAATGCACCTAATGCCATATTTATATAGTTAGTTAGCCTTTGAATTGATTATAAAATGAGAATATTTTTATTTGTAATTTGCGATTGTTTTCATATTGTGGTTTCTTTTACACTAAAAATATAACTTGGAGCAGCTTCTAATGTAATAGGTAAGTTGTTTAAAATTTTTATTATAGATATTTTCATTGAAACGCATTTACACGTTAAGCGCCAAGTGAATCATCTATGATCGAATAATCTGGTGACGAGGTTCCGTTAGTCATGGGTGACTGACGGTATAAAATGCAGCGATATTTTATAATTTTATATTTAAAAATAAATGATAACATCATAAAGAAATGCGTAACTGAAATTTGTGGATGAATAATACTTTTGTTTATGTTAATGAATCTAATGCAATAAGTCATTTTGCTGAAACATGTTAAGCAGAGATTGTTTCATGTCAATTACCATAAATCGGATGGGGACGGGGTAGTTCCTTGCTGATATCGGGCAGTGTTTCTGTCAAAATGTTGTAGATTATTGTAATAACATTTCTTTCAAAATTTTGACTTCAAAAAATTTTTCAAAAATATTTTCATTCCTTATTTGTACTTCCGAAGCTTAAATAGCTTAAATTTTGAAGTTTTATTTTTTTAATCAGCATCTATTAAATTTCCCTGTAGTTGCAAAGTAAAAAGTTTATTCTTCTTAAAAAGGGGGGGGGCGGCATTAGTTTCGATTTCATTACTATAGCGTCGCCAGCTTGATAGCACGTTAGGCATACTTTGAAAATAGCAACTTGGCGCTTAATACGTAAACAAGTAATTTTGAAATAATTCTCAAAAAGGATTACGTAGTGCGTTTAGCCAGTTAAAAGGAAGTCTACATGATATTCCTTTCCTGATGATATGCACTTAACATCAGAAAAGGAATATCATAACTTAACAGCTAACCTTTTTAAAAATGGTTGAAGCTATTGTTACCATGTCAAATTTCAAGAATTGTGGAGAATTCGTCAATAGTAATTTGAACGTATATGTTGTACTAAATGATACATTTGTATTCAAGAAAGTAATCAGTCTAGATTCTGAACATTATAAAGTGAACACTTAAAAACTACTATATTTATGGGCATGATATGGTGCAGGGCATTATATTACATACCATGTGTGTGTTTCAACTCGGTGAACGATTAAGCATTACTTGCTTACTTTTGTGTCAAAACTTTTACAGGTTTCGATGCCAGTTTATACTTTGTTTATTTGTTATTACTGGTTCCTCAAAAGTGATTTTCATGTTTTGAAATTCATGATTTTATGAAATGTTCCTGATGTCAACTCGAGAGTTCTGCCGCGTGCTTAGAATTTCAAGTGTTCATTCCCTCATTTAGATGTAAGTAGTGGAGGAAAAAAAAATCCAACTTCTACTTAAAAGTATTTGTCATGTTGATATCATTCACTTGTAGGATACAGTGTTGTATATCATTATTTTATGTTTTATTTCATGTGTCTTTAGTACAATTGTGAAAAAATTCAAAGAGTGTGATAAACAACATTACTGTAGTTTCTTTGCCCTTTAATAAACTCTTTGTCTAGTATGATGGTGTTTTTTTCTTTTTGTGGCTTTAATGATTTCTATAACTTTGAATTAGATGAAAAGGTTTCATTTTTTAATTTCAGCAGTAATAATTTTTCCAGTTAACAGAAAAGCCTAAATTAATGCTGTTTAAGGCAACTAAGAACTTTCTGAAAATACATCACTTGAAGTTTATTCCTCCCAGCAGAAAATTAGTTTTCCTGTTTTGGAAAAATAGTATAATTTCATGCTACAAAACTGGATTAACATTATAAGTAATAATATTAATATTAGGAAAATCTCAAATTTCTTGGACAATGCTCTAAAAGTATTACAGTATGCGCGCGTGAGCATTAACACGTACTCCCCCCCCCTCCGCCGAGCACACACACATATATATCCACACACACACTCCACAGTTGGATTTTAACTTGCTTCTTAGACACAAAATTTATCTCCTACACTCATTCCGGGAGAAAGATGGCACCGGATGTATATTCTCATGTTCTCACATTTCAACAGATGTCTGCATCAATAATTACCCAAGATCACGCACTGCATTTGTGTGTTTACCGCCGTTAGTCACGAGCACTTAGCATTGTATTTAGTTGAAACAACAAACCTGGGCTTTCGAACATGGAATACACAAGATAAACACTTTACTTTTTTCATAAAAACTTCAATCTTAAGATTGACTTACTGATTATTTACAGCATACATAATTGCACATTTACATGTGTAAAAGAATGTAATAACGAAGAAAAAATTAAAAAAGATAGAAAATGCATATACATGTAAAAATGTAAGTAATTAAGAAAAATCACGATAATTAATATTTAATTTTATTTTCTGAAAGACAGATACACAAAAAACAAAGTGATATTAATGAAAATATACAATAAAGTTTATCCTTTAACCCGCAAAATAAAAAGAAGCTTGATGTCAATAAAGCAGAAGTAGGATTTCAAGATGGAAGAAGACCAGTAAAATTGCAAAAAATTAATAAACAAGCTATAAAGAAGTACAGTTTCAAGAAAATTCAGAGAAATCTGTTGTTGTTGGCGAATGAAATGATTTTTGAAAAACTAAGCTTACAGCTTCTTCAGAAAACAGACCTGTAAATCAAATTATTATTTCCTAAATGGTTGCATTTCTGATAGGAGGCACGAAAGAAAAAAATATAATCTTAAAAAAAAAAAAAAAAAAAAAAAAAAAAAAAAAAAAATTAAATTTACAACTACTCAATAAAATAAAAGTATTATTATTTCTTGAACAACTATTTTTTGTTTACAAAACAGGAAGCTGTGGATCATTCTGGAAACTTTTATTAAAATTATCTAATGAATAGTTGTAACACAGAAAAGTTTCCATGTTTCTAGCCGAAAAGACAGCTGAAAATGCAACTTGAATAAGCTGAAATGCAATAAAAATCAAGTCTCTTTAGTCTTCAGTGTAAAGCTTAAAAGTCTGTTTCGAATTAATTAGTAATTTCGTGAGAAAATTCTTAATTAGAAAGCTCTTAAATTCAAAAGTTTTCATAGCCGTTCATGAAATTTTCCACTTTTTCTTAAATTAATCTTCAAATACTTTTAAGTTTGGTTTGTTTGGTTATGGCAAAGCACGTGAGGATTATCTGCGTAAGGGGGATAGACGCCATCGTGGAGGATTTTCTGGGGAAAACTGGCTCCTGGTCACATTACCACATGAGGAAAACCACGGAAATGTCCTTTCAAGGAAACGTCACAAAAGCGCCCCTGACAGATTTGAACACGAATTGAACTACCAGTATTCCGTGATTTTACTGCTAGGCCATAGTTCAGTGAAAATTATTTCAAGATTCTGATTTGAAATTTATGGTTCTAAAGTGGAACGTATCTTACATTTACGCTTAATTAAGAGTTATGAGTAAATTCACACAAATTTTTTCTTCAGTTAACTTCTTATTTTTTTAAACAAGTGTGCTCGGGCTTTTTGAACTTCCTGATAAGGAAAAAAAACCTTTAAATATAGACATCAACTCGATAAACAGTACTGAAATCTGAGCATACGATAATAAGCAAATGTCTTTGGTAAGTGTAAAGTAGCTTAGTTAATTTAATAAATATGAAAATACAAGATTTTCAAATATCAGTTTGGCCCCTTAATTGGTCTTTATGTTTTCAATTATAAGAATTTTTTTATTTAAGTCCAATTTAAATAACATTAGTCAATTCAACATTTTTATCTTTATTTTGAGAGTTATATAATATACTGACAAATAAATGTATTATTGTGGGAAGCGAGAATTTTCAAAGCAGGTACTGTCGAAACTTTAATAATAAAATGCAAATTCATGAGTTTTTTTTTTTTTTTTTTTAAACAGGTGGGAAGATTGAGAAATAATTGTTCTTTCTCCAGCAATTGAACTAGAGACTTTGCAGCTGCTAGCTAGTGCTAGCTAGATGCACCAATCCCTGCATTATCAGAACACATGCAAGGACCTTTATTTCTTGCCCTTTATTTATTTATTTATTCATGCCCTTTATTTCTTGCATTCACATGTTTAAAGAGCGGCAAGGTGTAAAAGAGACGAAACCTTTTTATCCAGTCAAGGTTGCGAAGAATTAGCCTCCATTTCATTTTAGTCTGAAAGCCGCTGCAGAGTCACTAAGCTTTCTTGAATAGGAAGATTAAAAAAAAAAAAAAAAAAAAAAAAAAAAAAAAAAAAAAGCTCTTGTTGGGAATCGAACCTTCCAACTGCTAAGTGAATGGTCTAAACTCTGCGCCAGAAGAACACATGACAGAAATGCTTTTAATGACTCACAGAGGTATGGTTATTATCAAAATTAAAATAGTTTGATGGCATTAGCTAGAATATGAAAAAAAAAAAAAAAAAAAAAAAAAAAAAAAAAAAAAACGGCAAATGCCGTAATAAAATATCAAACCACTGGTTTGATTTACTTGATTTAAAAGAATTAATCGACTGCTTTTAGTGGTTCTTAAACTAATAATGCATCTAGGCTGCGATATATTCCATTAAATAAGAGCACACTTAATAGATATAATAAATATTAACACATGTAATGAATGCATAATAATTTTTCTTTTATACCGAGGGTTTACATGCCCTAGAAAAGTGCAAATTTAAGTTTAATTTAGTTTGATACAAAACAATCATTTTCGACATATCCAGGGTAATTAAATATCACCTTAACTCTTACAGAAATCCTGGCTGGCTTGCAAGTCAATTCTCTTAGAAAGTCTCTGCTGAAGGTATCCCTCCTTAGGCAACAAGCTCTTGTTCATTTTGTGTTAATTAATAAATAAGTAACAAGCAAAGTGTTCAAAGTGATTTCCGGACAAGCATTCACAAAAGCCTTCGCAGGCAGAGTCACTTAAGCTATCCGAAATTTGGGTGATATGAGAGCGTTAAGACTTGTTAAAATTTCTCTTGTTCCCCAAGCATAAACTATATCTAACACAGATATCAGTGATAATCCCTCTTATTCGTTGCTTAAAAGTTTGAAAGCTTGATATTACATTCTGAGATGTAATAACATTTGCTGTCATTAAAATCATTCGATAAAATAAAACTCTTTGCTTAAAGCCCAGCCAAATTTGATGAAGTTACAAGTAAAATTTGCTAGAGCTGTTAATTACTTACATCTTTCACAAAGGATTAATAAAGACGGGTATGTTAGCTTAATATCTAGCATTATTTTTCATACATAGACGATATTTCATTTTACCATTACCTCCTCTAAATTGTTAGTGAAAAAATAGGAAATTTTTATTTCTAACCTTTTTATTTCTTATCATGTTCAGCAGACTGACTGGTGGAAGAAATTAAACTTTAGTTACTGTACAAGAATGTATCTAGCAAGATTTGGTTATTTTAAAACTTTAAAATTCCTCTTCAGCCATTTTATTTGAATCAAAATACATACACATTTCTTTTTCAAATAAACTAATTGTAGATATTATACATACATTGTGTCTACAAACCTCTTTCTTTACACGGCCTCTATTTTCACAATCGTTGATTGTAGAAATACAAATCCAGTTACAAAAATATTTTAAATGACGCAAAGTTCATGTTTTGTATTTTTATATCAAAAAATTAATTTTGTATGAAATACGAAATTTAACTTTCTACATGTTTCTGCGGTCCTAATAATTATTTTGAGGAAAACGTTTTACTCATTACAAAATATAAAGTTCAAAAAGTTTGAATTCTGCGCGAAAAAAATTGATCGAGATATCTGATATTAAAATCCAGAATTTTTTCAGGGGGCATAGACAAAGTGAAGAGAGGAATGTTTGTGTTTGTACCTGACTAAAAATAAAATATCATTTAGAAAAAGGTTTCTGATATCCGTACATTACGTGGCGAGCATTTCTATGCAAAGTGCTGAGAAAAATATTGATTAATATAATTTTCTTTCAAAATGGTGCTGCTATGCATAGAATTCATGTTCTAGAAATTACTAGTAATCTTCAGTACTGGACGATAATCAAGTCTTATTACTATTTGCATCGATTAAAAATACAAAATATTTGTACTTTAATAAATTTTTGTGCAATTACTAGATAATGATTCTAACGTAATAAAACTTCACGAGAATATTAATAGCGTATTTTTAGACTTTAAAAACTTATAAATTATTCACATGAAAATTCTTCTGGGATACTAAATATAATAAGATTATAAATTAAAGATACTAGCAAATAACGAAACTGTATCACTGAATGGCATTTATGGGGTAAAAAAATCAACCTCGATTTATTCTAGTTATTTTTTAACCGATCTCCAACGCAATCTGAATATGACGTCAAAAATCGAAGATTTTGAAATTAAATAAATCAGTCAGTTATTGTCACAGGGGAGTCAAACCTCTTGTATTTTATTTTTATAATAAGTGAAAATTTTCCTAACTATAAGGACCGGAAGGATGCATTACACGTTAGATTTCGTATCGACAGAATTGATTTCTTTAAATTTAAAAATGTTAAAATATTTCTTCGTGGGCTTTAAATATATTT